TCTTTTTGTAATTTCTTTATTAGGCAGCAGAACATGACTCCGTGGGGGATCGGCTGATACTCCCAGGGAGGAATCGTAGGAAGTGTGTTGCAGAGGAAAGCACAGCAGCTCCCGGCACTAATGATCCTGATCCCTAAAGAGTCCCAGGAGCCGCCCCCAGCTCAGTGAATCGGGGCTCTGTCAGCACCGGTCGCTGTACAAAACCCTTCAGGAGAGCGCGCATTCCTCTGTGTTCCTACATGTTCTATTTTTTCCCCTCGATTCACTTTCTGAAGGCAACTTGATAGTAACTTTTAAGTTAACAGTATAAGTTATTGAGATCATATTGTATTGCCAGCATAATTTTTGCTGCATAAGGTATTTTAAGATTATTAAACTAAAACCCAATACAGTTAAGATACATTACGGTACCCCCTTTGTCTACCTGTAGAAAGTCCCTTAAAATAGTCTATATTACGTGTTTATGTGTATACCTGCACATTTCATCTTTATCCATATTTCATTCAAAAAGGTGACTTGTTGCCCGGCCAGTGTGGTGCAGTGGATTGAGCCTCAAATCATGCATCATGAGATCACTGGTTCGATTCCCTGTCAGGGCACATGCTCGGGTTTTGGGCTCGGTCCCCAGTAGGGGGACTGTAGGAGGTAGGTAGGAGGTAGCTGATTGATGTGTCTCTCTCACATCAATGATTCTGTCTTTCTTCCTCTCCCTCTTCCTTCCCCTTCCTCTAAATCAATAAAAACATATTTTTTTTTAAAAAAATTGATTAATTTAGCTAATCCTATGAAAAGAGTGCAAAGTATAATTTGAGCCACTCTATATACTTTCTAGCTTAAATGGAAAAAAAAAAAAAAATTCCACTACCACGATCTCATGTTCACAGGGCTGTGAGAATTACTACATAAGCAGTAAGGAAAGTAATGAATAACATGTGCAGAAACTACAGCCAAAATAATATCTGAAAAGCATACTGCACTCAGTGCACTGCTAGGGCGGATCGCACAGGACCACCCTCTGTTTGAGCAGCCACGGGGAAGAAACCCGGACCCTACGCACACACTGGATGTGGAGTCTTTTTCTGTCGAGGCTCTCACTTCTCCTGGAGAGTAAAGAGCAACAGCAGAGAACTGTGAATACAGACCCACAGTGGTAAAAAAAAAATATCTAGGGCAGAGCACAGTGCCACTGTGATGTTTCTGGATGATACATTGGGACACTATTGGTATTTGTAAAATTAAGGTTTAGCTATGTTCAACCATGGATGAGTGGGTTTTGATAGACATTTGGAAGCATTAACTTGTGTGGTGAGGTTGTGCTAGACCAGCAGTTTTCAACCGGGTGCCACAAGAATTTTTAAAACATACAATGCCTGACTATTTCATCAGGGGCACTGATCTCTTTTCCCTTAGATCCCCCCCGACCCCCCAATCTCAAAAAATAACAGCCAACTCAACAATAATAGCCATTGGTGTGAATGAATCTAAATTATACCTTTTTGCCAGATAGGCAAAAGAAAGATATTTTTGGTGTGCTGCAGAATTTTTAGTAATTTGTGTATGTGCGCCATGATATGAAAAATGTTGCAAGTCACCATTCCAGACTATTATGGACATTGTACACATGTAGACACAAGTGTACAAAAGTCAAGAAAATAAATAAACTCTAGTGAGTGAAGTATATGGCCTTTTATGAAGTAGGAAAAAAAACATAGGAGGGACTGACTATATTGTGGATAATTTTTAATATGTGCTGGTGCTTTTATCTGCCATGAGCTTTCCTTGTCAAATTCTAATTCATCAAGGAAGCCTCTTGCAGCCCAAGCTAATTTCTGCATCCTCTACAGAAATTACCAAGTACTGGTCACCTGTCAAAAGCTTTATGCTACACTCACTTTTTATTGTCTTGTCCTTGGCTTTGCTATTTTCTTCCTATGCTACTTCTTAAAGTACTCATCCTTTAATTAAACATGTCGTAGGTCTTAGAAATAATAATCTAGTCAAAAGAAAAACAGGTATAATGCTCGAGAGAGAGATGTTTTTGAGTTGCTAAAAGCTTTGCTGTTGGATTTGGGGGGGTAATACCATAAACGTGGGTGAAGGGCATCATTATGTTCTAGTCTTCACATGAACAAAGCCAACTGTGGGTTGTGCCTCATAAGGGAGGCATCTGCTACCAAAGGATGCAGAATTTTAGGCAGCTGATCCCAGGTTAGATTCCGGTCAAGGGCATATACCTTGGTTGTGGACACATCCCTGGTTGGAGGTGTGCAGGAGGCAACTGATCTATGTCTCTCTCATCAATGTTTCTGACTCTCTATCCCTCTCCCTTCCTCTCTATAAAAAGTCAATAATATATATATGGCCTTCATATAGCAACCTTTTACCGAGAACCTATTCAGGATCAGCACTAGGAATACAAAGACAAGGAAACAGGTTCACTCTGCAAGCAACTCCCAACCTGATGCAATGATTCTCACCCTTGAAATAAAACTCAGTGTGGCTCTGGCTTTTGAATGAAGCCTTTCTGAAGGGCAGTGGGCCTCCTGGAAGTATATATTGGTGCCGAGTATCCACTACTAGGAATGTTTCCTAAAGAAATAATCAGGAAAATGTGCAAAATGTTGAGTCTTTCAGAGTAATGATCTTCATTTTTAGATGGAATAATAAATGATTTACCAGATGTTCCAGCAGATATTATGAGGCACCTCTTCCACTTGACCTTGCTAAAGAATTTAGCTGTGAGTTGCTTTTCTTGTCCAACATTGTGTGATAGTGGTTAGTGTTTAATCGCAATCTTCACTGTTGACTGAGCCAGTTCTCTGTTTAGTTTTCCTTTCTTCTTAGTCGCCAAGACAGTATTCATAATATATTAAGTTCATTACACTGACGCATTCTGTCTTTGAACCCTGTTGTAATTGCTGTGGGGTTTATTTCTTAAGTGGCTTTTAAAAGTCTGTGATAAGATAATCTGAAGTTAATACCAAAAATGATTTTAGTAAGGGTGCTGCTGTTCTCTGTCCCCGACCCCATGGTTCTGCAGGAGGTTCCTGAGTCTCCTGGGCCATTAGTCAGTATCAGGTGTACAAGTTAATAATTCTAATTTTGTAATCAAAGAAAACAAGATAACTTCAAGAGAAATATCAAAAGTGCTTTATTCAAAGTAATATCCATCGATAGCTACACATTTCCCACATCTTGCAGGTAATTTGTGGATACCCAATAGAACTTTTCTTGTTTTGAGGCAAATCATTCAGAGACCCAATTTTCCACTTTTTTTGTACATTTTGAAGTGCTGCTCAGAAAGTGTGTGTGCCATCGATCAGAACAAGTGGTAATCTGAAGGAGCAAGGTCTGGTGAATATGGTGGGTGGGTTAATACTTCTCAGGCAAGATCTTTTAAAGTGTCTTTAACTTGTTTTAAGTGTGTGATGGTATGTCATCATGAAACAAAATTACTTTGCCGTGTCTTCTGGCCCATTCTGGTTGTTTCAAGATCAAAGCGTGGTTCAAATTGATTATTTGTCGTTGATAATGATGAGTATTAATGGTTCACCTGGTTTTAGAAGTTCATAATACACCACATCTTCCTGATCCCACCAAATGCAGAGCATTGTCTTCTTTCCAAAGGGATTTGGCCTTGCAGTTGATGTTGATGGTTGACCTGGATCAACCCATGATTTTTGTGCATTTGGGATTTTCAAAATAAATCCACTTTTCATCACCAGTCACAATTTGATGCAAAAAAATATTTCTTTCATGCCATTAAAGCATCATTTTATTGATGACATATTGATTTTCCATTTGTCTTTCATTCACTTGATGTGGCACCCATTTTTCTTCCTTAAAATTTTTCCCATTGCTTGTAGGTGATCAAAAATTGTTTGCTGAGCAACATTTAATCTTTCTACAAGTTGTTTTTAAGTTTGATATGCATCTTCATCCAATAATGTTTGTAATTGTTGGTCTTCAAACTTTTTTGGTTGACCTGGCCATTCTTTGTCTTCCACATTGAAATCATCACTTTTCAAGCATTTAAACCAGCATTCACAAGTATCTTGAGATGGAGCATGTTCACCATAAATTTCCCAAATTATATGATAATTTTCAGCAGCACTTTTCTTCAAAATAAAGTAATGAATTAAAACTTCCCACAAATGCTTTTTTGGGGGCACAAAATTTAACATTTTTAATCATAAAAATATCTATGATGTTAACACTTTCAGCAAATTTGACATATGAAATTTTGAAGCTTGCTGTTAATACAACAAAATAGCATACATATCAAATCACATATATATCAACGTATGTGTAACTCCATCTAGTGAAAAAAAAATCCGTATTAATAACCTGTACATCTGGTAGCTTTGGAAGAAAATTGAGGCACAGTAGCTATGCAACCAATGCTTGGTATTCACTTTGGTTGATTCACCATGGTTAACCAATGCCCTACTGTTAACTTAAATAGATTTTTGAGTTGTTTTAAATGTCTATTATACTGTCTAAGTTCACCTTTGGATGGCTCAAAACTTTTGTTCTCCAGAAATAGTACAGGTTTCAATAAGTATTTGGACTAGAGTTTAACAGCCATCCTGACCTTTTTTGTTCACAGTGAAAACTTAGAAATGCTGATGTCATTTGTTAGGAAGTAATGGCATTTCTGAACTCACATGTTATTTCTTTAACAAGTTAATGAGCACTTGTTAAAGAAATAAACTAGTCCTGGTAAACTGGTAAACTAATGCTTAACAAGGTTTCATTAGCTTCTGTTTAACTCCTACAGATTTGCTTCCAAGACTTTCACTTTCTTTTTTCTCTTGAGTTGGCAACCACATTAACGGAGTCAAACATTTGCAAGCCTAATATCGATACTTGTCCGTAATGGTTCTTCATAGAACTACATACTCACTTGCTCTTATCCTTCAAGACAATTGACATTTTAAAATTCTTTTTTTTTCCCCCTCTAGAAAACAGAGCTAATTGGTCATTTGTTCTAATTTAAGGGTTTCTCCCCTTCAAAAGTCTGAAGTTGTGGAGATGGTTAAGAAACAAGTCAAAGTGATAACACTTGCGATTGGTGATGGAGCCAATGATGTCAGCATGATCCAGACGGCACACGTCGGCGTGGGCATAAGCGGGAATGAAGGCCTCCAGGCAGCAAATTCTTCCGATTACTCCATCGCACAGGTGACGGTCCTTTCTGCAGTCTCACCCTTCATCTCCGTCAGCTGACACTAGGAAAAGGGCAATCACTAATTCTTTTTCCCACTCTTATTCTAGTTCAAGTATTTGAAGAATTTATTGATGGTCCATGGTGCCTGGAACTATAACAGAGTCTCCAAGTGCATTTTATACTGCTTCTACAAGAATATAGTCCTCTATATTATCGAGGTAATAGCCGGTTAATTGTTTTAAATCCTTGTCAATTGCATAGATAGGTAAAGACATTTTCTTTATGAAGACATGTCCCCATTTTAATTAATCTATTCGCCTACTTTGTATAACTTCTAAACAAGTTGAAACAAAAACTTTGTCAGCCCTGGAGAATAATTCGTGTTGAAATTCTGGCTAAAAAAGGGATATTGCTTTGGGAAGAAACGTTGAATTAGACTTGCTAATGAAATGGTGTTTTCAGTTTTAAAAGGATTGCAAACGATAGTTTTTTATGAAGCTCGAAAACATACAAGAGAAAACAATACACTATTTAGGGATATGCACGTGGAGACTGTATTTTAAAAGACAGTGAAGGGAATGATAGACATAAAACTGAGGAGAGCAGTTCTGGTGTTGGGGATGGCGGTTAAAGAAGCAGAAGCAGGAAGGATACGTAGGCAGTTTTGCTAATATTGGCCATCTTATAGTTCTTATTATGTTTCAAACTTAGATATTTATACACAAGCATCCCTTGCTACCCAGACTTGTTTTGGTTTCTGAGTTTGGTTGGTAGCAGGAGTTTAGATAATGAGGAATGAGGCTAAGAACTATCAGAATATTTAGTTCCTGTGTCTGGACAGCAAGAAATTCCAAATTCCTTTCCATATATCAAATATAACATCATTTTGGGGGGAGTCAGGGGAGGCACAAACATTTTGTCTGTAAAATCATTTTTTAAAGGAAAACCACTTCTGAAGGGGTGTATTTTGTCCGACAGTTTCACAGCGCCTTCTGGGTGCCAGGCCCCGGGCTTTGTTCAGGGTTCTTCCTGTCCTCCACCCAGGAGCTTGCCGACAGGAATAACAATGCCAGCCCCCTGTGCAATTCTGGAACCCACATGAGCAACATATAAAAAATTAAAACCCTCGTTCACTTTTTTTTTTAATATTTTATTGAGAGGGATAGAGATAGAAATGTCGATGAGAGAGATACATTGACCACAGCTGCCTCTTGCACACCCCCTAGTGGGGACGTGCCCAAACCAAGGTATGTGCCCTTGACCGGAATCGAACCCTAGACCTTTCAGTCCGCAGGCCGACGCTCTATCCACTGAGCCAAACCGGTTTCGGCAAAAAATTAAAACCCACGTTCACTTTTAAATGATATTTAAGTCAATATAGTCAGTATTACCATTTCAACGTACAATCACCTTAAAATTTCTTAATGTGACATTTAGATTCTTTTCTTCATACTAAGTCTTCAAATTCAGGTGTCTATCAGTGGCTACCACAGTGGACAGCAAAGCGCCCGTGCACGAATAAGTGAACTGAACTGTCCATCAGGAAGTGATAGATAAATCATTTACCTCTCATTCACATTTGGCCATTTTACCATCAGAAGCTACATTTATAAAACACACTCTAGATGTTATCGTTTCTTGCTCCTCCTTCAGCTTCGCAGAGCATGAAGATAAGCTCTCCATAGCTCATTAAGAAAGCCCTCCGTCTGCCCCTCCTGAGAGGACCCACCTTCGCCCTCACAAATATGCCCAGAGCTTCCTTACGGATGTTTGTTTATGCCAATTTGACCTCTAACTTGCTGGCTGACCCTCCACAGCTGTCAGAAGATACACAACCCCAACCAGTGTTGCTCAGTGATTGTTAGCAAAAGAGGTCACAGTTTGATTCTTAATCAGGGCACATGCACAGGTTGTGGTCTTGATCCCAAGTGGGGAGCGTGCAGGAGGCAGACAATCAATGATTCTCTCCCATCATTAATGTTTCTATCTCTCTCCCTCTTCCTTTCTCTCTGAAATCAATAAAAATATATTTTTTAAGAAATAATATCCCATGCTTTACACCAGAGGAGTAACACTGTAAACAAAACAAAAATCTAAATTTTACACTTACCCTATTGGCAGGTTAGCTGGGAACTGCTGTGTGTTTGGTTCAGCTGTTCTTTATGCCTCTGTAAGAATGTTTGTCTCCTTATTAAAATGTTGACTTAACATAGTTCTTATTATAAGTTAGCTGGTAAAACTGAAACTTAGTTTTCAAGTGTGCAGGATTGGTCACTAAAAAACACACCTCTAAAATTGCTTATGAAATCCAAAATATATATATTTTTTAATATATTTTATTGATTTTTTTTTAACAGAGAGGAAGAGAGAGGGATAGAGAGTTAGAAACATCGATGAGAGAGAATCATTTATCAGCTGCCTCCTGCACACCTCCCACTGGGGATGTGCCTGCAACCAAGGTACATGCCCTTGACCGAAATCTAACCTGGGACCTTTCAGTTCACAGGCCAACGCTCTATCCACTGAGCCAAACCGGTTTTGGCCCCCCCAAAATATTTTTTTTTATTGTATATATAAATTTGTGATTTTTTTCTAAAATAATTATTTATGACTAGGAACCCCAACCACCCACCGGCCACCCTGCCTTGATACTCAAACATCTCCCTACAGAACTCCAGGGCACCTGACCCAGCGCCCCCTTCCCCCCACCCCTCTGGCCTTCTCTGGCTGCTTCAAGCCCCACCCTCAGTCCTTCAAGTCGCCTCGGGCTGCTCTCGCCTTCTCTGGGTGCCTCCTGCTTCTGCCCTGCCTCCAGAGCACACTCAGGCAGCCTCCTGTGATCTGTCCTTCTACGTTATGGCGTCCCAACCATTAGCATATTAGCTCTTATTATTATGATGATTTGATTACCAGTATCCTCTATAGTTACTAGCTTTTCTAATTATATTTTTCGCATTCAAAATAATATCAACTTACATAGTTTATTTACATATAATTTTTATTTACATATAATTTTTGAATATATAGGAGTTGAAAGCCATTGGTAGCAAAAAAATCTGCTTTAAAATTTTTATTTTTATTTTTTTAATCTAGATTATTTGACAATCAGTAAAGCAGGTAAAACTTATGTATTAATAGGGGAAACAAAATATATTAAACTCAAATGGAAAACAAAATCTGTAATTTCTGTTTCATCCAGAGTTATACAATTTGTGTTTGATTAGCCCTAAATTTCACTTGGCTTTGAGTTTAAAGCCTCTTCATGAGATATTTAGCACGGACGAAATTCTCTCAATACAGAACAGGAAGTAAGTACTAACTTGGGGTATTGAACTACACAGTAGTGTATTATAGAATTATCTACCTAAAACCTATATAATTTTACTAACCAATGTAACCCCAGTAAATTCAATTTAAAAAACAAAACAAAACAAGGAAGTAACATTCTAAACTTTACTGGAAATCTCATTTAAGTAATTTTTCTTTGAGCACTTTATGGAAATGCATTTTGAATCTAATTCCACTATCTTGGGAAACAAATTGACCTTTTCAATCAATTCCCAGATACCAAACTTTTGCCAGCTAAAACAAGTTCTGCAGATGTTAATGGCTCATGTCAATACTGTGAGTGAATAGACAGAAAACACATCGTTGAATGTTTCTAGTGAGGACAACTGCCAGTCTCCACTCTCTCCTTTGAGTGTTTTGTGCTGATGAGGCGTGGGAGCAGAGGACTCCCAGTTTGTAAGCTGCTGTTTAACATGCAAAAAGGCTTCATGGAGGGGAGTCTGTGCTTCAGCTGCCACGCCTCTGCTGGGACGTGGAACTTAGAAAAGAATTCCAGGAGAGGCAGGTCTGGAGTTTCTTTGCTAATGAAGGAATAGTCTGGAGCTCTGTGGGTTTTATAGAGTATCTGCGAAAACCGCTCCCCCCATTGCTGCAGTGCCCGGAATGCCACTTCTAGCCTCTCCTTGCCATCACTTCAGCCAAACAAACAAATACAGATTTGGCAGGTGGCGGTCTATAGCACTTCCTAATGGTGGCCACTTGCAGGGCCTAGGTGTTCACTGAAATCTTTCTAAAGAGATGTTTGTAAAATTTCTTAGACATCTGACTCCTTCCTACCAAGATAAGAACTTTGCTTTCCATTGGTTGCATCCAGGTGTTCTGGTAAGATCCCAAAACAATGTAGTGTTTCTAATTTACAGAAACTCTGAGTCAAGTCAGTGAGGTGATGTTTTCCCTGCACGTTGTGCTGGCACGTGGCTTTCCTGAGAATTTAAATAATGTAGATGCCTCCCCAGAGGAACCGATGTTTTCTTTCTGCACCTGGTTTGGGTTGAGTCAAAGGAGGAACTTTTATGTATCTATAACGTAGGTGTTGTTCTTAATGTGAGAGACGTTTCTAATGTATCTTTTAACTACCCAACCTCACTAACTTGAATCCAGCCTTATAGTAAACTTCTCTTACTCTTTGAATGCCAGAATATTTGTCTGAATGTATCTAGAGTTATTCTCTTATCTAGTCATTTCTCCTTTTAAAAAAAAAAAAAATTAGCATACTAACTTTTTTAAATGCAAGAAGAAAATTTCTAAAACCTTTATATCTTTCAGTAGGAAAAATAAAAAGGTAAAAGTTCATACCTATCCATTTTTAAATGTCTGTCATAAAGCAGTAAATTCATGCATTTTAAAAATAAACTTTGAATCCAGAGATGTGGATTTATTTGCATATTATTTTGGAATTTGAAACTTTTCCTAGATTAAGGGAAGTTCTTAAATTCCAAGCTTAAACCGGAACATTTGAATCGGCATCTCATGTTCTGTACAAAGTAACTAGGAGACTAGTCACATTTACAAATGTTGACTTACACACAATAAATTTATTCATACACATTTCTCTTATTATTCAGTGATAATGATTGCATTTATAACCATAACCTTTGAACTGATTCATTATCCATTACACAAATTTGGTATGCATGTCTCTTGGGCTTTCTTCAAACCAAAAATTATTAGACTGCATCTTCATAGACTAGTGAAAGTTTGGGTTTAATAATTCCTTATATTTCCATCGTACCCTAGGAAACCTGAAAGAGCGTGTTTGTATGTAGCATCACAGTAGATCACAGTCACCTTCAAAGAGGACATTACCGCCATGCAGAGCATCCCTTAATCCACATCTCACAGAGGTCAACTGTGAAAACGCAATAGCAAGCGTGGAAGTCTGTCTTGTCAATTTGTGTATGCTTAACACTTTACAAAACAAACAAACAAACAAAAAAAAAAAATGAAGTCAGCAGCACAACCTTAAGGAATAAACTTCATTCACAGGAAATTGCTAAGTTTTCTTAAAGTTTGCATGCACAAGTGAATGCTCTGGCTCCTTGTTTAGGACAGATATTCAATTTTTTTTCCTGTAAATATATATGGCAAAGCAAGCAACAATTTTAGATTTTATTCCAATTTCTATGCTTTTGTTGTTGTTGTTATTGCTAATGTGTGTACAACCCTGACACAATTTGGACTGATTTGTCACATGCTATTACCACTTTGTGTTCTTTTTCATCTCCTGGAGGAAACATTTATTTTTTTTTCTACTCCTTTCCACTCTAAAAAGGAAAACGATCAGTGTGGGTGCAGAAAGTGTTCATTGTGGGGGTCGGCCTCGGTGCTTATTGATGAATGGTGAATTTGTAGCAATCCATGCTTCCAGAATGATGTTAAATGAAACGTGAAGTGTAGCAAAGTCCCAGCAGCTCCGATTCAAACATTCGCTTGCCGGGCATGTCAAGCCTGCTTTCCTCTAACGGTTTTTTTGTTGTGTTTTGCTTTTGTGTTTGTGTTTATGTAATCTCATTGCTGGGCCGGATGTTTCACTCTTCCAGATCAACATGATGCTAAGTACATTTTAAGTAATGGAGGAGTTATTGATTTACTAATATCACGCTCAGTTATCATTTGTCTTACACATGTTGGATAACATTTTTCTCTCTTGCCCCTTAATTTTATAGCTGACAATCAAGGTTTCTATTTTTAAGAGAATTGTAAAATATGGAAGGACATTATGCTCTGTTAAAGATTTTTTTTTATCAAAGCATAAATTTAAGTTATAAAGTATTTTTATATATAAATTCAGATTTCATATTCTGATGGCTGTAACTATCAAAAACTATTTTAAAAGTGTATATAGTCCTAAGCAGTTTGGAACCATCTTTGACTTAAATAACAGATCCCTTGTGAGGGCATCCCTTCAAATTATAAAGTAAAACAAAGAAACACCATTTTCAAGAGAGTCATGAAAATATCATGCTATTTTACAGTGGCTGAGTACACAACAGATTCTGCACAATGCGCTTATTTTTGTGTGTCCTAATTTTGGGGGTTTTTGTTTTCTTTCTAGATCTGGTTTGCCTTTGTTAATGGCTTTTCTGGGCAGATCCTCTTCGAGAGGTGGTGTATAGGTCTTTATAATGTGGTAAGTCTGACACATTTGGTTTTCCCTGTTTTGTTGAATGCTTTGAAATAAAGATCCACCTGCCTCTGGCCACTTGGTGTAATACCCATTTGTGTGCTTCAGATGTTCACAGCGATGCCTCCCTTAACGCTGGGCATATTTGAGAGATCGTGCAGGAAAGAGAATATGTTGAAGTATCCTGAGTTATACAAAACGTCTCAGAACGCCCTGGACTTCAACACCAAGGTAGGCTATGACATCCTGCCACATATTTGGGGGGGGGGGGGAGAAAGAGGGGAAAGAAGGAGGGTACTTTACTGCTCTAATTACTTAGGGCATCTGGTCTCCCAGAACCGTGGTGCGTCAGGCTTACCTAAGCTTCTGATATGGGCTGACAAGGTTTTGGTTTGTGTTGTTATAATTTAAATGTAGCCACGATGCACTGGGACTTGCCAGGCAACAGGGACTGGGTCTGGCAGACCGACTGCGGGTCCCTTTGGCCCCCTGAATGCCAGTTTCTGCAGCTGTGCCCTTCACAGAGGTCGGTCCCCCAAGACTGAGCAGGACTTGGTCACATGTGTGAAGAGTGAGGGGCAGGGGAGCCTTCTCTACGAATTACCTGTTTTGTGAACTAACTTTGTCCTCTATAGAGTATTGGATTGTTTGTATGGAGCATTACAAATTATAGTCTCGGGGGGGGGGGGGGGGGGAACCTCAGTCATAACAGTATTTCCAAGCCATAAAAAATTAAAATTCAAGATAAAATAGCCAGCATTTTATATAAAATCATCTTCTGGGTTTTTATCCTGCATAGCGTGGTATGAAGTATTATCACCTCTTGTGCTCCCTGGTTGTTTATTCATCCCAACCACAAAAATAGCTCATTTTCTGCAGTTTCCTTCCCGGCAGGTATATGTTCTCAAGTATTGCCAGTGGTATTTTCCTAGGAGCTCTAGCTTTGGTTTAGTGTGAGGCAGACTCTTTTTTTTTTTTTTTTTTTAATTTTCTAACAGTCAATTAGATGTCATTTTGAAACAGTAATAAAAGTAGCAGAATTTTTCTCATTTCATAGCGTACATGTCTATTAGCATGTCACTGCTAATTAGATGTACGTAACCTAGGTTGGGTGTTTTGACTTCAGGACAGTGAGTGTAGGAAACCTTAAGTATTTTTGAAGCCCTCCAATGACAGTTCTTCTGAGTACACCAGGAAAGTAAAACAGGACAGGTGTTCCTGCGCCTCTGACCTCACACCATAAATGTTGGCACTGAGTTTATAGCCCGGATGTTGCTCATCTTCTGAGCTGAGGTCCTCGTGGATACACTGTGCACGCACCGGCAGGTGTGCCTGTACGTACGACTTGATGGCATTATTTCAAATAACTGCATTTGGTTAATTAAAAAAAAAAATGAAAGAGTTTTCGGACTTAATACCATTAGTTCCAGAAAGTATTTTTAGTAGCCTCTTAAAAACTATTCCGATTTGTGATATGAAATGTCTATGCCTTTATTTTTGAATGTTTTCTTCTTGGATTTTTTTAAAACTTATTTGTGATATCCTGTTTGTCTTAAATTCCACCACCTTGCTGTAACGTTCATTACCTGTAGTGGGTATTTTCAAGTAGGCAGCCACCGTGCCCCACAAGCTCTTGTTTCCCTGAAGAATTTATCTGAGAGTGAGGCATGTTCAGACATACTGACACACTAACCATAAAGCTCAGGGACCTAGACTCATGTATCAACCTCAGCCACGGGTCCCCAAACAACCATGGCTCAGCCACCACCGTGCTCTCCCCAGAGTTAACTTTTAGCCATACACTTAGCCGTGGTACTGTCGCTTTAAACATACATTCCACAGGATTACCCAAAGCCATTCCTGAACAGCCACATCCTCACCTGCCCTTTGCATCATCGCATTTTTGTGGCCAGGGGTAAGGTGTACCAGGTAGAATAGTTTTAATGTGGATGCATCCTTCCTTGCAAACTTTATTTTTTTTAAAAATTTTTTGGTCGTTTGCAAACTATTTCATTATCTGCAGAACCCATGCATTTCAAAAAAGTCTTCAGAGCAACCCAAATAGATTTTACAGGGGCGGGCCAAAGTAGGTCTCCCATTGTGAGTACATGAAAGACAAATACTATATTATTTTATTATTTGTCTTCTTCCCTATGAACAGCTGTAAACCTACCTTTGCCCATCTTTGGACTTCTGTATTCTATTTGAGAATTTATACATACCTGAACTGCACAGCATTTTTCTGTAGGGAAGGTAGATGGATTTTTCTAATGATTTCAGTGACAATTCTTTGATTAAATCCCATGGAAGTGCTTTAAAATTCAGGGGCAAGTGGCCACAGAATGCATACTTGTGTGCACAGCGGTTGCCTCGGGTCCCCAGTGTGGCAGCATTGTTGCCCTGAATGAGGACGATCACGTTTGTTATGGTAAAAAGGGTCGGAGGTGCTGAGGTCAGGACAGGGGTTAAAGGATTAGCATGTGACAATAAGTAGCGGTCAGGAAAATGGAAAAGTAGAACTAATTTTTCTTGCACCCACCTGTGCTTTCTGTCAAATGAAAACGTGCGGTGATGACATAGTGAGGAGAGGAGACAAAGGTTAATGAGGAACACAAGTTCAAATGTGTAACGTATTGGAGCGTAAATTGGATCATACAACCCAGGGTGGCTGCGTGAACCAACAAAGGAGATTGAAATCACAGTGGAACATTTTGGGAGGCAGGCAACTTAATTTCTGTTGTTTGAACAGCTTAAAACTATTAATACACGACAATTTTATTTAGCAGACCCGGTGGGCAAGAATCACTTTTTAAAAATGACAAACTGCAATTGTTCGAAGGGCCATAAGAATTCTAAACAGTTTTCTAGAATGTAATTTTGCCTAGCCATTGTTTCAAAGAACATGCCAGCGATACTAGCTCTCTTGTTCTTCTAAAAATACAATTGATGTACAAAGTAATAAACTATCAAATGATATTATAACTATAGAAAGTTTGATGTTGATGGATAGTAAAAATTGTGAGAAGCTTTCTATGAATTCAGTTATATGGACAATGCTTTAGTCAAAGGAATTATACAATTTAAGTGTAATACCTGCTAGTTTTAGTATATAATATGTGTGTGTGTGTGTGTGTGTTTGTGTGTGTGTATATAAATGCCTAAATATATAGAGAGAGAATATGAATGCATTATAACCCTACCATTGAAAAGTTTACATTTTTATTGCACGTGGGCAAGAGAAAGTAAGGATTTGACCAAATTACAATCTTTCCAAAACTCTCTTCTTCTGCAATTATGAATACAGGCCTCCTCAAAAGAATGTCAGGATCTGCATTACTTTAAATTTTCTTTTCTTTTTTCAGGCAGAAATGTAAACTTTTCATACTTGGTTTTAAAAGGTACGAGAAAAAAAAATGCCAGCGGAGCTGCAGAAAACATTTTGAGAAACATAAAAATAAATAAATGACCCATGAAGGTCTAAGAGGCAGAAAGTGTCTGCCAGTTTTATTAATTCACAGCGGTGGCCCGACAGAGCCACGTTTTGTGAATCGAGCCCACAGATAAAGAGAGAGGTCAGAGTTCACACAGCTAGTTTATCACAAATGGTTCTCATGGATTTTTGTTTTCCCCCAGGTTTTCTGGGTTCATTGTTTAAATGGCCTCTTCCACTCGGTTATTCTGTTTTGGTTTCCACTAAAAGCCCTTCAGTATGGTAAGTAGAAAGGATACGAATGCTAATAAGTGACTTCTTACTTTGTTTTTTTTAGAAAACTAATTCATTGCCAATATATGTTAAAACTCATAGCCGTTTCATTCTGTGGTATTCCTTCACCTAAAAATACATGCGTCCGAAAGTCGCCCACACGTTTAAAGAGTTTTATTATTCCTTTGGGAGAAAGTGATTTAATATATGCAAAGCCTTTCTTCTCGACTTTTTCTCATGTTTTCCCAACTTGCAGAGAATTAAATTTTAGGGCTCTTTTTGTCCTCTGCTGATGCATTGTTTGGAGACAATGGCGCTAATATTTTATGTAGTCTGTTTATTATACCTACGGGGCCTGTAGCAAGCTCTTTATGCTGTGCCTAATCAGACATGCTAGTATTTCCAAGCAGACGTGAGCCGATGTCCTGAATGAGAGTTTTAATCTGTCTTTACGTTCAGCTTGGAGGGTAAGCTTTTTCCTCTGCGTGTTTCGAGGAAGTGAAGTTATTCTGTCAGCTTTGAGGAATGGGATCATGGTGAATTTCCTAGAGGCATAAAAATGATGAAGTGGCCACTTTAGAAAGAGATCCCGGCACTGCTTACGCAGGAGCTGCCTTGGGATCCCGAGGAAGGCAGCCGGCCATTCAGTGCCTGTGCCCCCCAAACTAGTCATTAAAACGCCACCCAGGGGGTCCTCAGTCCCTTGGAATATACAGGCCATACCTCGCTGACGGTGAGGAGTGAGTGAGTGATTGCCAACAGAAGAGGGCTGGCCCTGTGTCCTCACTCACCTACATCTGTCCTCCTCCTGCAGCCGGAGTGGTTTTTGCACTATGTACATCAGACCCGGTGCCTCTCTCCTCAAAACCCGCAGACTTCTGTCACACCTAGGGCAGAGTCCACAGCCCCGGCCCTCATCTGATTTCCTTCCCCACGTCCCCTCTCCCCGTGCCTCCACGCTCATCCTTTCTTCACCCAGACGTTCCAGCCGGCTCTCTCCCTCACTCCCCAGGTTCATGCTCAGATCGCCTTCATCTGAAAGAGCCACCGCTGTCCCCACTGCCCATGTCTCTATCCCATTGACGTCTTGTTTCTTCTTCATGGTACTTGTCTATGGAGGTCTGATATTTTTGCTTATTTTTTGCTAGAGCCCTCATGCACGAAATTCGTGCAAGGGGTTTGGCCCTCGCAGCTTTATCCATAAGGTTGTCTGGAAGGACGTCCAGAAGGTCATTCGGCTGTTTAGTCTAATTAGCATGTTACGCATTTATTGTTATAGATTGTCTTTCTCCTCTGCTGGAATCGAAGCTTCAGAAGAGAGGGAGTTGTTCGCTCAGTTCACTGTTGTATGTACAGTACTTAGAACAGAGCCTGGCTCATTGTAGGCACTCAGTACACTGCCGACGTGTTCACAGGCCTACAGCCTGAATGGGGTGAGAGTTAGGAGAAGGCAGTGGTTTCATGCTCTAGTCAGAGATTTTTATCTCATGCCTTTATGAATTGCTTTGCCAGTGCAGCAGTAAATATTTCCCATTTTTTAGGCCATGGAAATGAGTGTGGTGAGAAATCTAATTAAAGTAGATTTAGACTAGGAAAACACACTGGGAACTTTTTTTTTTTTTTTTTTTAGATATAATTCCCATACCATAAAACTCACCTTTTTAATTTACACAATTCCATGGTTTTTAGCATGGTCACAGAATGATACAAATGTTGCCACTATCTAATGCCAGAACATTTCATCACTCCGTAAAGGAAACCCATACCCATTAGCAGTCACTTCCCCTTCCTCTCCACCCTCCCCGCAGCCCCTAGTGTCCACAGATTTTTGTGTCTGTGGGTTTTGTCTCTGTGGAATCATGTCCTGTGTGACCTTGGTTTATCCTTGTTGCAGCATGCCTCAGTATTTCATTCTTCTTTTTGACCGAAAACTATTCCATTGTATGTCTATACCACATACCGTAACATTCTGTTACGCATTTATCAGTTAGTGGATATTTGAACTCCACTCTTTGAAGCCAAGTGATATTGGAATCCAGCATACAATTCAGGTTTCCTTGACCTTAGAGAAGTTCTCCAGTTAAAGTTTGCTTTTTCAAATAAACTTACCTATCCCTTTACTTCAGCAGTCCTAAGTGTGGTCTCTAGGCATCTGGGAATACCTATGACATTTTAATGGTCCATGAGGTCAAAAGTTCAGTTTCAATATTGTATAACATTATCAAGACATTATTTATCTTTTTCACTGCTGATACAAAAGCAGTGGTGGGGTAAAACAGCTGGCACCTTGGCACCATAGAGATATCCCTGTACTGGCAGTCATTACATTCCTCGTTGTCATGCACCCACATTTAAAAAGCTGCCAAGGCCTGGCTAGTGCTGCTCAGTTGGTTGAGCACCCTCCCATGCACCAGAAGGTCACCGGTTCCATACCTGGTCAGGTCACCTGCCCGGGATGCAGGTTTGATCCCTCTCTCCCTCCTCTAAAAATCAATTAAAACATTCATCATAATCCAAAAAGTCAATTTAATTTTAAGAATATCCTTGAAGGCTTCCTAAACCCTCATCTGTATTGTTATCCGAGTTCTCTCTTAAGGGTTCAGAGGCCTCCTCCTGTCTCTGTGCTCACAGCATTAAGATTTGGTTGTTCAAACTAACTAAACAATTAGTTTTATTTTAGTTTTTTTTAATCTCATGGACCCTGAGAATTGGTTTAACATGTCAGGTTTCCTTCATATTGGCCCATGGAAATTTGTCTTCAGTTTGTGACCCCTATTCATAGCCTGCAGTACACTTTTCAGCCTCAGTTCTAGCTGCATCGTGTGGCCTTGGTCACCGTTCTTTTGCTCACCACTTCTGAGTCGGCTTATCTTTGAATGGACCCTGACACAACCTTGTTTATTTTCTTTCCTAACAAGCGTCTCTTCTGTTCCTGTAGGCACTGTATTTGGAAATGGGAAAACCTCTGACTACCTGCTGTTGGGCAACTTTGTGTACACAGTGAGTAGGGACATTTGCCTGTTTTGCATGGAAAAGGGGGTCCTTCCATATGTGCTTGTTTTATTTTCACATTTACATGCCTGCATTTCTGGATTTAAGGGTTGGTGGCACTTCCCTTTAAGGATGAAATGAGATGTTTTGATTAGTAAAAGATGGTTCCACGTTAAGTTATTAAAATGTCGTTTAGGTTCACTGACTTTACAGTACTTTGGTTGCTGTTATTTTCAATATTCCCTCTTTACTCTTATTCCTCCCTCATTTGCCCTTGTTCTCTTCCTTAACCCTTTTTCCTCAGTTTTATTTCACGTCCTTGTTAATATTTTTGCTTTTGCTATTCTTGGGTGTTTAAGCAGCAATTTTTCTAGAATCTCATGATAACTATGATGGGAGAGAAATCTGGACTCTTTTGGGACATTTCATCAGCATCACACTTTCATCACTACAGATTCTGACCATGCCCAGAGTTTCCTTGACTACTGATAATGTATAAAATTGTATTAATTATACATCCTAATATATAAAAAGCTAGGGGCTGTCATGACTGAAACAACCAGACTGATGACCGAACAGCAGGCTGCATAGGGTGACCAGGCCAGCAGTGGGGGCGGTTGGGGGCAACCAGGCCAGTGGCAGGGGGGTGGGCAGCAGTTAGGGATGATCAGGCTGGCGGGGGAGGGGGGGCAGTTAGGGGCAATCAGGCAGGTAGTTAGAAGCAATTAGGGGTGATCAGGCAGGCAGGCAGGTGAGCAGTTAGGAGATAGCAGTTGCAGATTGTGAGAGGGAAGTCTGACTGCCAGTTTAGGTCCAATTCTCGGACATCCCCAAGGGATCCCGGATTGGAGAGGGTACAGGCTAGGCTGAGAGGACCCCCCCACCCATCCCCGAGCACAAATTTTGTACACCGGGCCTCTCTTATACAATAATAGATAAAGCGCAGTGCTAAGCACAGTTCTTGGTGTTTTATACTCAAACCCCAATGTGATAGGTAAGTTTTCTCAGTCCCAGTTTGCAGATGAAGGAAACTCGCCTAGTTCCTTCACTGAAACAGCTAGTAAATGATGGAGTCTTGCGCACACATGGTCTGACTCCAGGCCAAGTCCACTTACCCATTCTGTGATCCTGCAGCAAACACGGGGTGGCTCATTGGACCTCCTAACCTTTCTTCAGCATTAGTAGCATGGTCACCGGTGAGGAGGGGTGGTAGTTACAGCACATAACCAGCTCTTACATTCTGCTCTGCAGAGTTTTACTGTCAGTTAGGTTACAGTGTGAGTGTTTAGATTTCTAAATGTCCATTTATATTATTTTTTAGAGCGATCTTTAAAATTCAGAAAGCAGGGGGCCCTATGCATTAAAAATGATATAAAATAAAATGAAAGCAGGCTTTAAAACCCAAGGAACTGCAGACACAGCCTCCATCACTTTTCACGAAGTGTACGGGAAGCAGGCGGACACACGCTCAGGGGCCTCCTGCATGGACTGTGAGGCTGTGGGGGAGGCAGGGGTGCAGTGCTCACGGGCAGTTCTGGTCCTAACGTTCAGCCAATAGCCAGTTCACTGGACTCTTGTTAGACGTACAAGGCCAGGTGGGGATAATGTAGTTCCATCATCTAATTCAGAGATACCCGTTCTTTATAAATCTCACTCTCAGTCATTCTATGAACTATCGTATTTATTTTTTAAAAAAAATAACGTTTTCCCTTGTGTTTTAGTTTGTGGTGATCACTGTGTGTTTGAAAGCTGGCTTGGAGACATCATATTGGACATGGGTAAGAGTATCTCTGATCTCAACCTAGAAATCTCACATTTACCTATGTGTTACTGCCACCTTTTTTTGTAGTTTGTCATTCTGAGTTTATGTATCCTTTAACCCTAGTTCCTTCTACAGGTAGTTAATTAGGGGGGAGGAGAGGGGTCAGGAATGGAGGAGAGAGAACCAGGATTCTTGTTTGGAAATATTGAGTAAAACAAGTTTATTTACCACAAGACTTCTCAGAGCCTTCAATGTATAATTGTATATTGTGAATATCCCAGGAGTAGGGGAGGCTTTTAAATTTATTGACAAGGAATTGTTTGGCAGAAAACAGTGCAAAATGATTCTGAAGGCTAATAATATTAGCAAAAGATTTGCCCTCAGACATTTGTAAATGTCCAGTATGGATGAAACAAGTTCCATTTTAGGTACTTTGGTTTTGACATATATTCACATCCAGGTAGATAAATATAGTAAAAAAATTAATTAATTAATTAATTAATTATTAAGTTTGATGCTTAGGGGAAAGATTGGCATAAGAAATTTGGATTTGATTGTCATGGACAAAAAAAAAATAGTATTTACACAAATGTCTACTAACATCTTTCAGTGAGAGCATGCAGAGAGAAAAATCAAGGAAGCTTAAAAGTGGTAGGGGATTTAAAAAAAAATAAGAGTGCTCTGGCCCAGTTGGTTGGGCATTGTCCCATGGACCAAAAGGTTGCCAGTTTGATTCCCAGTCAGGGCACATGCCAGGGTTTTGGACTTGATCCCCAGTAGGGGGTGTGCAAGAGGCAGCGGTCCATGTTTTCTCTCTCTCTCTTTTTCTCTCTCTCTTTCTCTCTCTCTTTCTTTCTCTCTCTTTTTTTCCCTCTTTCTCTCCCTCCCTCCCTCTTACTTCCTTTCTCTCTAAAAATAAAAATAAAAATTTAAAAGACTAAGAGGAGAGACCCACAAAGGAGGTAGAGAAAGAACAGTTCCAAATGCCAGGACCACAGACATCAGAATTGTTGTGGGGAAAGATTAGCACTTAATGGAAGATCCATTTAAAACACCACACACACACACACACACACACACACACACACACACACACACACACATTTAGAAATGCCCAGAGATAATATTGTATGGATGTGATAAGAAGTTGGTAGGGGAGTTTGCGAAGGCTTTGTTAGTGTTTGTGTACTCCATCTGCCTCTCAGTCTTTTTGACTCCAACTCCCTTCCTCCGCAGTTCAGCCATGTGGCGATCTGGGGCAGCATCGTGCTCTGGGTGGTGTTCTTCGGGATCTACTCATCGCTGTGGCCCGCCATCCCCATGGCCCCGGACATGTCAGGAGAGGTAATGTGTCCTCGTAACTCATGATTCAACAAACCTTAACAATCGCTATTCATGAAAGAGCCTGCGTTGTTTGGCTTGGATTTATATTAAAATGGAGCCTTTGACCATTTAAAAGCTATTTTTAAATTCCTCGGTTGTAATAAATCCTGAAAGGATATTTTAAATGCGGACCTTTTACTTAAATCTGACTGATCCTTTCATAAACATAGTGGGGACAATAAAGCATGGCTGTCAGGAGCGTGAATCACGGTAAGAATATCCACATCGAAAATTCCATTTTAAAATCAGAACATAAATCCACAGTTACATTTTGGAGGAGAGATTTGGGGGAAATGGCGGACGTATGTCTTTGGGACCGTCTATCATTTCTTCTGTTATCTCTTATTCCACGGAAAAGTCCACCGTCGCTAGATTAAATGCACTTTGAGCGTTGTCCTAATAACATCAGTTTGGTTTTCATTTCGAAGGAGTTCAGGCATCTGACATTTCAGCCTTATCAGCGTCCATTTTCAGTTCTGTCTTTCAGTGTCTTTGTTAGCCTGGTAGGAGTTGAGTGATTAGGTGTTCATGGGGGACTGTCACAAGATCCCCTTTCCTTCAGAGGAGATTCCAGCAGTAGGAGGGTTTATGATTTCAATTGCAGGAAATTTGACATAAAATGTATAAAAGAAAATGTGGAAAACATTTCAGGATTTCCTGTGACCTCACAGTAACTTGCAAATCAGGGTAATGTGAGCTCTGGTCCAGGACATTGTTTCCCTATAGTCATGGGAAACCTTTCCAGCGGTTTCCTTAGACGCCTTGCCCCTCAGTAGTGCGTGAGGAACTTTCACTTTTGACAGTCTGGTTTGTAGATCATGTTCATGAAATTTATCTGACAGCATCCTGTTTTTTTTATAAATTAGCAGAACGCAGGCACATTTTTTAAAAATATGTTTTTTGTGGTTGAATTTATTGGAGAGCCATTCTATACTACTAGAGGCCTGGTGCACTAACTTGTGCAGCAGTGGGGTCCCTCGGCCTGGCCTGCGGGGATTGGGCCGAAACCAACCTCTGGGTCCGGAGTGCGGGTAAAGCAGATTCGGGGCTGACAGTGCCCCAGCAGCAACCTAACCCATCGCCGATTCCTCGAAGAATCAGGCTCCCTCTTCTACTGATCAGAGCGTCTGCCCCCTGGTGGTTATTGTGCATCATAGCTACCAGGCGAACGGTCAGGTGGTCACTTAGACTTTTATATATATATGTAGACTAGAGGCCCGATGCATAACATTTGTGCAAGGGGCTAGGCCCTTGCAGCCCTGGCTGCCCCAGCTGGCCTTGCTGCCCCGGCTGGCCCTCACAGCCCCTCGCAGTCCCAGCTTCGTCCAGAATGTCATCTGGATGGTCGTTCTGCTATTCGGTTTAATTAGCACGTTAGCTCTTTATTATATAGGATTGCACAAAGCCAGACAATATGAAAGAGCACATACTTCCAGCAAAAGTGAAGGCTTCTTTTGAAATATGTACCATGAACTCTAGAAAATTTTCATCATGTATTTTAAGAACAGAAAAAAGGCTGTGAATGCATCTCCCTCTTACCTTGGTTGCTGAGTCCATTGGTTCTGAAGAGATAAAATCAAAGAGTGTATCTGTCTGACAAGGCCACCTGAAAAACCCAATTCTATTCTTTGTTTTTTATTTTATGTACTCTGTTTTTTCCCCAAGATCAATTCCAACTTAATATCTTTTTCATTAAACTTCATTTTGCCTCATTTCTTAATATTTTATCTTCAAAATGAATGACAAAAGAGGTTGCGATCCAGATAGTGTAAGTAACTATAGCCAACAGCTTCAATGACAAGAATGGGGGTTTTGACCACCTACTTCTATGACAAGTGTGACATCTGATTGGCTTTTTGCCAACCAAATATAATTCTACCCCTGCCTGTAGAATTCCCAGTACTAACTGAACTCAAAACCTCATCTCATCTCTTGAGGTTTGTGGTGATGCTGTGCTTAATCCAGAGTGAAATGAATGTCAGTACTCCATCACGTCCCTGTTCACTTCACAGACAGTGGGACGTGCTAACAGGGGTTCTTGTTCTTGTTTATTTTATTGCTACTGATACTTTGAATATAATATTTAAATAGCTTTTGCTCCATTGAAACTACGAAAATCGATTAACTCAGCATTGAGCTTGACTAGCTTGTCCAAAACATAAGTCTGTCTAATTTATTGAAAGAAAAGAATAATACTTGAAATTTATGTAGTACTTTAGGGCTTGAAAAGCATTTTGATATAAATGTGTGCATCTGAGTGAGTCTCACAGCAGCTCCAGAAAAAGAGGATTTCAAGAATGCCACTCAGATTCTTAAGGATAGATAGTCTATATTTACTATTTCTTGGGCACTAGGGCAATGCATCTCAAAAAATGTTTATAGCAATATCAATTTTTAAGAATATGTTCTTATTGATTTTTAGAAAGAGAGGAAGGGAGAGGGATAGAGTGATAGAAACATTGATGAAAGAGAAACACTTTCTATTGGGGATCGAGCCCACAACCTGAGCGTGTGCCCTGACTGAGAATCAAACCAGTGACCTCTTGGTTCATGGGTCAAAGCTCAACCACTGAGCCACACCAGCTAGGCACAATAATCAATTTTTGAACATACTTATTATATGTAGAGAATCATTTGTTCTGTTACAATCCAGTTAGTTCCATAAAGAAGTCGCTTACCCTTAGGTTTATATTTTTCTAATCTTAAAGCTATATTTTAACCTAAAGTATAGTCACATACACATATACTAGTAGTTGCATATATATATGTGTGTGTGTGTGTGAAAAATTTATGTTCCAATATTTATATCTGTTGTGTGTGTATATATAAATTAGTATATATAATTGGCTGGTGATCTTGAATAAAATTGAATGATTCATCTGTTAACTTTCATAGCAAAATACTATTATATTACATATTACGCATATTATTATATATTGCATATACATTACAATTGCATAAATCATATTACTATTTTAATATTACATACATGTAATATACTAGAGGCGCAGCACACGAAACCGCCCGAGACCCAGACGTGCTGTGCACAAGTAGCACACCGCGCAAGCACTGCCATGCCTCACTGCGCCACCCAGTGAGCCCCACCACACTGCCGCAAGTGGCTCGCAGTTGGTGGGGAGGGATGGAGAGGTGCTCCATGCACCCCCTGGTGACCGGTCATTTGGTGGTTGCAGCCACTGGCCTTTTGTAATACAGATTATAATACAATAACAGAATTATATATAATATATGCTAGATATAGTAATAGGCATGCTATTATCAGTAAAACCAGGGTAAGTATAAATATTAGCATTCGCCATAGAGCCTTGTGGTTTTCACTCAGGGTCAGACCAAGGGCCATGGCGGGGTTTGAGAGAGGGGTGGCACCCTCTGACCTGTGTTTCCATAGCAGGACTGTGACTGCTGTGTTCTGAACCACGTAGGAGGCTATGGCAGTAACCCGGAGGAAAGGCAGTGGTGGCAGAGGTGGCAGTGGTCGTATTCTGGACCTATTTTGAAGATGGGAGAGCCAATAGGACGCCGCCAGACTGGCTGTGGGGAGTGGGAGAGGTCAGGGCAGACTCCACCGTGTTGGCCGGAACATCGTGAGCATTTGCTTGTCCCCAGCTCACGGGGTCCCCACAGCAAACGTGTTATTATAACCATTTCAGGGATGCGAAACCGTAAACAGGGACGTTAAGTGCCCCACTGACATCCCACTCATACTAAGTGACAGGGGAGATTTTGACTCGGCTGCCTGGTCCCAGAGCCCTGGAGCCGAGCTGCTCTCCACTCACAGCCATTCCGAGGCATCCGTGGTGTGTAACCTGCAAATTAAAAGTGCAGGCAGATCACTCCCTGCTGGTAGGTGAGGGATTTGCATAGAAGAGGAAATCTGTTTTCTGCAGGCACCGCTCTCTCTAGATATTTCCGTGGTCTTGCTCCTCCTCAGCCCACCCTCCACCTCTGAGCCCCAGTGACCATTCCAGAAGGCGTCCACCCCTCCTCAGCATCCACGGCCCCTCCATATCTTCACTGGTTCACTCCAGCCTCCCGGTGCTGGGCTCCCGGTGCCCGTAAATCAGTGCTAAGTAAACGGTCGTTAAATAATTTTTTTTGCTTGCTTGTTTGTTTTGAACAAATGAGAAGCAGTGGGGTAGAGGTGACGGAGAGTCAGATTTCAGCTCACATGGAACATCTTTCAAGCATACAAGCAACCCACATGTAACCGTTCCCAGCGCCAGAGCAGGAGGCTGGCCTCAATGAGCCAACCCTTTCTATGCTGCTCAGCCACCAGCGACTCTCAGGAATTCCGAGCCTCGTGTGTCTGCACCAGCAATTTCCAACTTTTTTTTTTTTTCATCTCGTGGCACGCAGAAACTAGTCCTGGAATTCTGCAGCACACCAAAAAGTAAATTATTGCTGCCAATCTGACAAAAGAAAAATAGGTATAGTTTTGATGGATTGCAGTGAAAATTACGCACATCACACAAGGACGTAGTGATCTATATTAACGTGTAACAGGTGCTCTTAGTAATGTATATAAGAATTTCTGGTACCAAGAATTTACCAATCAGATGCAACCTTATTATGTGATGCAACCGATAAGATGCAACTCTGTGACTAGTATTTGACTTATACATTTAGGGGTCAAGACAGGGCATTCACACCAGGCAGCTATTGTGTTGGCTGCTGTCATTTTTTATTTGGCAATCTAAGGCAAGCACGTCGAACTCACGGCCAACGATCTAAGGGAAAAGAGGTCAGTGCCCCTGACTAAATAGTCAGATATTGCATGTTTTAAAAATTCTTGCAGTACACCACCTGAAAATCCCAGGCCTACCCCCATCCACCCCCGACCTCTCATTACCCCCCACCCCACGCCCCCACCCCCAGGTTGCCTGTCCGCTCCTGAGATTCAGATTCCCTGTGTGTTGGTTTTCACCGTGTTCTCCCAGAGG